TCTGCTGCTATCTCCCTGGGGCTAGGGAGGGCGTGTCCCACACCTGCAGCCTCCTGCTTTGCCCCCCCACATCCGGTGGGTACACTCCCTCCTTCTTTGCACTGTTCTAGTAGTTTAATATATTGGCACCCGAAATAAGTTCTTTCCCCCAGGCGGAAATAATGTGTGAGAAGGAATGCACAAAGACCTTGTGCACCTCATCTGCTGCTATCTCCCTGGGGCTAGGGAGGGCGTGTCCCACACCTGCAGCCTCCTGCTTTGCCCCCCCACATCCTCAAGACTTTGCCCTGAAGCACCTGGGTAACACTGGGTATATCTTCTAGTACAGTGGTTCATAAGCCTTTTTATGCTGCAGACTAGCAAACTCATTCACAAACTTTTGATGGACCAGTAACATTTATTTGCATATTCATTATGCAAATAAAATATTACCCTCTGCCCTCCCTTTCCATTTGCTACAAAACAGTCGCATTCCAGGCACATCCTATTATCCTGGCACAACCAAACCCTGGATTTGCTTTGTTACAATAAGAGGAGGCTGCATCCCAAATTTGGGCCTAATTCTTGCCATTTAGGAGGAGTTGTTGAACAGACAGACTCACAGAGAGACGCACGTTTCTAAAAGATATAGTAAGATAAAAGGAAGGAAAGGGAAAAGTGTTAAATGGACAAAGCAGTCGGATACGTACACAAGAGTTCAGACTCCAATATCAGGTTCCGAGCAGCACTGGTGACTGCTGGCTTGTAACGTCCCTCTGGAACGCTTCCAGAGGAGGTGGATCTGTCAGGCCTTTGGTCGAAGCTGCCATTGTAGAGAAGTGACTCCAGAGACAGGTTCCCAGATGGTCGCTTTTCGACTGGAACACGCAGTTGAAGAGACCCTGGCAGCTTTGCTCAGCATCACTGACTGGCCCGTTAAGTCTGGTGAGTGGCACAAATAGGCTCCCTGCTCAGCTACATGCTGCTTCTGGGAAGCTGCCAGCACGTCCCTCCAGCTCCTAGGCATACGGTCAACCACGGGGGTGCCGCACTCTGCCCCCACCTTCAGGCAGCACCTGTTGGCTGGGAACCCTGGCAGTGCACGGTGTCCTATGACTGTGGATTCTTTCCTGCTCCCTTTAGAATCCTCTTCAACCTTAGTTCCACATCCCTTATCTTAGCACCGGTGCAGACCTAGCAAGGCAGCCTTCCTTATTCCCCATTGCCCACCCGGAACACCAGGGCCCTTCCACTCTGGAGGCTTTTCAGGTGGTGCAGGACACTTATCACTCTGCTGTTGCCACTGACTCTGGCACCACCCAGGCCTCAGCATAGAGGGAAGCCGAGGCATGCTGGAAATAGTCACTCCTCTCGTGCTGAATGGCTTGCAAGGTTTTTCATATGATTGATGGATTTGCCAATTTTCTTCCACAATTTGATCTGAGGAAGTGGGTCTGGCCCACGAAAGCTCATCACCTAATAAACCATCTTATTAGTCTTTAAAGTGCTGCATAGTCCTGTCCCTCATGCTGGTCATCATTACAGGACGGATTCCCCACAAACTCGGCACCACTCCCCATGCCAGAATTACTCACTGGCACGGAGCCACTTGCAAGAAGACTGTAGGCCCTACAGGTCCCACTTGACTTCCTAGCAGTGGGTACCAACTTTTTGGCACTGGTCATTGCCACACCTCCCTTGGACCACTGACTGCCGATCTAGGCATTCTCCGTGGTCACCAGGGTCAGTGTCTTCTGACAGCTCCTGTACCAAAGAGAATGAAGCGTGCACTCCAAGTTGCGGGCATCAGGCAGTGTCCGCTCCACTAGTGTCACATCACAGTCCATCTCCCTTCCACTGACACAGTCAGTGGCACTGTACCCCATGCCATCTCAGAGGGTACCACAGACAGCTTTGCAAAGCACCCTGTGTCCCAGGCAACTTGGTCATCCTAGTGGTACTTATAGATTCCCTGGGGCTTCCTGGTACAGCCCCAGGTGACATGCCCAGTAGATTTTGAAGCCCCCTCAGTGCAACCAGTCAGCCAGCCACCTGCACGCATTGGAGTCCATCAAGCCAGCTATCCCTTAGCTGAAGGAGGAGGCGAGTCATCAACCCTTGGCAGTGGAAGAAGGGCAGTTCGCTCAAGCCTCCTCATTCTTATCCTCATCCCCAGACAAGACCCTCCTGGCACCCCCTCGTGTGGTTCCTCAAGAGGGTATCAGGGCCCATGAGGACTTCTTAAAGAGGATGGCAGCTAATTTGGATCTCCAGGTGGAGGATGTGGAAGAAGCCTCAGACTCTCTGTTTGGAATCCTTGGACAAGCAGCACTGGCTATGGTGGCTCTATCACTCTGACCCCGAAGAATAAAGACTCAAGACGCCTGGATCTGTTTTCTCGTAAGCGTTATTCCTTGGCAAGCTGAAATCTTTCAGCTTGCCAAGGTCTGGTTGGTGGTGCAGCAGGACTAAGGCAGGCTCCCTATCTGCTCTAGTTCTGTGTGGATCCTGGATGTGGTGGCGGATCCCTGTGGGCCAGGGGCAAATAGAGGGATCCATGCACCGTTCTTTCCTTGAGCTCTCCACAGCTCTCATTTGTAGGGAACTGGGCAGAGCCTTGCACCTCTGCCAAAGAGTGCAGGTACACGCTGGCCATTTCTGGGAGCTGCACAGAGCCAGGGCAGGCAGGGAACCTGCTTTAGCCCCAGTGGACTGGGAGTCACCTGCGTTAAGCACCACCTGGCTGGAACAAGTATCCCAAATCCTCGGACCCCTCAACCTCCTGCTCAAACTGTCTCCTAGAGCCAACCCCAGCTGCCTGCCCCAGGCGTGAGCCCCCTCTTGCACTCTAACCCTTCATTTCTAGTCCCACCCCAGCTCAGAGCCCATAAACCCTTCCATATACCTGTCCCCTGCCTCAGCCTGGAGCCCCCGAGCCCCTTCCTGTATCCCAAACCCCTCCTTGCCAGCCCCACACGGAGCCTACAGCCCTCAGCTCCCAAGCTCCATCCTCAGCCCAGTGAGAATGAGCAACTAAGCAAATATGGGGAAGAGTGAGTGTGGGAGGGGATGGGGCATGTAGTGAGCAGGGGGCAGGGTCTTAGGGAAGGGGGCGGGGCAAGGATGTTCAGTTTTCTGATATTAGGAAGTAGGCGTCCCTATCCAGAGGTGAGAAGCAAGGTTGAAGACAAAATGGAAAATAAAGCCTTTGCTACGTGGCTTCTCCTTTGTTCCAAACTCACACTCAGAATCCTAGAGCTGGAAGACACCTCAGGAGGTCAAGTGCAATCCCAACTCAATCAACCCGGCCAGGGCTTTGTCAAGCCGAGACTTAAACACCTCTAGGGATGGAGACTCCACCATCGCCCTAGGGAACCCAGCCCAGCGCTTCCCCACCCTCCTAGGGAAATAGTCTTTCCTAATCTCCAACCTAGACCTCCGCACTGTAACTTGAGCCCATTGCTCCTTGTTCTGCCACCTGCCCCGCTGAGAACAGCCTCTCTGGACCCCCTGCCGGGAGCTGAAGTTCAGGGGGGTCTGGGAGTCTATTTGGCAATGCCGTTGTGCCAGGGCTGTGGAGAGCAGTGCGCTCCCACGTGCTGCCATGAGTCACTTCTGTGGAGATGCCTCCACTTACCTCTCTGCATTCTGAACATGGCCTGGTTCTTGCTGCCCTTTGGCTCCTGCTTCTCGTCAGCTCCTGACTCAGGATAGACCCTTCTCTCCTGGCCCTCTGGCGAGAGGCCTTTCCTAAGCACACCCTGCTGGCTGACCACCCAGCATTTCACAGCCTCCCCTTCCGGCCCCAGCGAGCACAGAGACCTCACAGCCTCCAGCTCTCTCCCCCGCTGCTGGGCACAGCTCTAGCCTCCAGGGCGTCCAGACCTAGCCTGTAACCCCCAGGTCCTTTTCTGCAGAACTGCTGCTTAGCTATTCGGTCCCCAGCCTGTACCAATGCTTGGGATTCTTCCGTCCCAAGGGCAGGACTCTGAACTTGTCCTTGTTGAACCTCCTCAGATTTCTTTTGGCCCAAGCCTCTAATCTGTCCAGGTCACTCTGGACCCTATCCCTGCCCTCCAGCGTATCTACCTCTCCCCCTAGCTTAGTGTCATGTGCAGACTTGCTGAGGGTGCAATCCATCCCCTCCTCCAGGCCATTAATGAAGATGTTGAACATGGGTATGGAGTGCTTCTTGGAGCCCTTTGGCCACAGGCATGTCCCTTCATGCCCTGCTGATGCGGTGACTTAGCCCCAGCCGTCTCTCAGTGGATTCACTATATATCTGTTCGCCTTGATGAGCCATAGAGATTACTGATGCCAGTCTGTCTGCGGGTGTCACCCAGACGCACAGGACAAGTTCAAGATCTATTTATAATTCATGGCACAAAGATGATACATACATATCAACAAGGTTATCATCCTAGGCAAATCACTGTTTCCGCACTGATCCCTTACCTGCCGTGATTTGTATGACTCTCTGGAACTTTGCAATCTTGAGCTCCAGAACAGAGTCACCTGTATTCCATACAGCAGTGGGGCAGCCTAGGCTAGTGAGTGGGCTGAAAGAGTGGCCCTCCTTTACCGCACTGGGCCGCAAGATTCTTGTAACCAAGACTGTCTCCAGGCTAGGCTGGTTTTGCTAACTGCTCCTGCTCCTAGAATTTGCGGGCTGGGCCGCTGAACTGTAGCAGCACTGTGACTGGGTGCAGAGGGAGCCCAAGGCTCTCCCAGGCAGTGTTGTGTGCTGTCAGACGCACCTCACTGCACGTGCCCTTGCTTTACTTGTGTGTTGCTTTACTAATAGCCGTGCAGACAAAACCAGCAAAATCTGGCAACCCTGCATGTGGGCCACAGCTAGAACCTGGGTGTCGCCCAGTGCTGCAGACAGTGTCACAAATGAGCCAGTCTAGGCTCCTCAGTGGGGATTCTGGGTGCAGTCCCATTACTGTCTGCTTTGGCTGCCCTGTGGTGAGTGGAGTGCCTGGCTGAGAGCCCTAACCTCTTTGTGCCTTTCCCGGCAGAGTGCAGTCACCTGTTTGCTGTGGCCGGCAGAGAACATCATCGTCTTCGGACTCGCTGAGGGGAAGGTAGAGAAGCCTAGTGCTGTCCCCAAGTTACAGGCTCCGGGCACTGCTCAGCAGGGACGGGACCGCACTGGTGACTTGCTCTCCTGCACCTGCTCCCTGTGAGTCTCTTGGGAGGCTGAGCGGCATGGCGTGAGAATGACGTGGTCATCCATGCCAGTTTCCACTGCTCCCCCAGAGCCCACTGGAGCCCACCGAGGTGCATGTGAGTTCTCATCTTGCTGCTTGACCTGAAGGCGCCAGCCCAGCACAGATGAGAACCTCTCCTTCATTCTGCTTAAAAGCCATCTTCAGCTGCACTGGGGTGACGATCTGTTTCTGCACTGCACTGACCCATGTCCTTCTCTTCCTCAGGTTCGGTTAGCAAATACAAAGACCAACAAGTCCTCCACCATTTACGGGACAGATTCTTTTGTGGTCTCATTAACCTCCAAGTGAGTATGGTGCTGCCACAGGCTCCCCTGCCGAGCTCAGTGTCCTGACCCAGCACTTGGCCTGAAGGCCGCCTTAGTGCTGATGGTGAGCTTCATAGGCTCCGCTGGAAAGCTAAACAAGCACAGCACTCCCCTCCCTTGGGCTCCCTGGCTTCTGTGTTTTACCAGTAACATTGGAACATTGCATCCCGCGCAGTCACTATACTGGTCCCGCTCCCCCCATCCGTCTGTCTGCTGAGAGCTCTCTAGGGCAGGCTCCAGGCCTCCTCGGTATGTGTGTGCCATTGGGCACATTGTGGGCACTCTCAAGAAATAATCACTAAGGGGAAAGCGGAGCCTACCATTGGCTGCTGCTGCCCCATGAGAATCAGCACAGCTGGGGCTGGAGAGGCAACTGGAACCGTAAGTGCTGCTGTGCCTCTGTGACGACCTGTCCTGGTGTCTCTCGACAGCGTGTCGGGGAAGGGGGTCCTGTCTGGCCATGCAGATGGAACCATTGTGCGCTACTTCTTTGACGATGAAGGCTCTGGTGAATCACAGGTACTGAATGGCTCTTGTACACTCCCTTCCGCCTCAGTCACTGGGACTGTGGAGGAGAGCAGGAGCAATGGCTGTCACAAATGCATGGCTAATGGAGCACTGAGTAAACTGTGGAAGAGGGTCTAGATGTAACCGTTTCAGAGTCTGTGGGGGGAGGGGATTCATAGACTCCCAGGGCTGGCAGAGCCTCAGGAGTCCTCCAGTCCAGCCTGCTGCCTAAAGCAGGACCAACCCCAACTCAGTTTACATTTCTCCAGTGTCTCTGACACCTAAGGCTCAGTGGGACTCAGAGTACATCGTGCTGCCCAAGAGAGCAACACTCAAGTTGTCAGAGCAGTGGGGTTGTGTATTGCCTTCTTTCCATTGCCCCATAGTTACACCAAGAAGTTTGAACTGGAGAGTGTCCTTGTGAATGATCACCTGGGGTTTCTCCGGGAAAGCTTGAGGCCTAAACTTGTTCACCTTGGCCTCTCAGGCTAGAACAAGAAGCAATGGGCTTAAACTGCAGCAAGGGAGGTTTAGGTTGGACATTAGGAAAAAGTTCCTAACTGTCAGGGTGGTCAAACACTGGAATAAATTGCCCAGGGAGGTTGTGGAATCCCCATCTCTGGGGATATTTAAGAGTAGGTTAGATAAATGTCTATCAGGGATGGTCTAGACAGTACAGGGTCCTGCCATGAGGGCAGGGGACTGGACTCGATGACCTCTCGAGGTCCCTTCCAGTCCTAGGATTCTATGATTCTATGAACAGGTCCTACTGGTAGGGGAGTGGCACTATACGTGAAAGAAAATGTAGACTAAAATGAAGTAAAACTCTTAAATGAGCCCAAATGTTCCACATAATCTCTATGGATAGTAATTCCATGCTCCAATAATAATATATCCCTACAGCTATATTCTTATCAACCACCTGACCAGAACAGTGATTGTGACAATGAAATGCTAATGGGGGATTAGAGAGGCTATCAAATTAAAAAACTCGATAATAGTGGGAGATTTCAGCTATCCCCATATTGACTGGGTCCACGTCATCTCAGGACGGGATGCAGAGAGAAAATTTCTTGATACCTTAAATGACTGCTTCTTGGAGCAGCTGGTTCTGGAAACCACAAGCGGAGAGGCAATTCTTGATTTAGTCTTTAGTGGAGCGCAGGGTCTGGACCAAGAGGTAAATGTAACTGGACCACTTGAAATAGTGACCATAAAGTAATAAAATGTATCATCCCTGTGGTGGGACGAGCCCCTCAGCAGCCCAACACAGTGGCATTTAATTTCACAAAGGGGAACTACACAAAAATGAGGAGGTTAGTTAAACGGAAATTAAAAGGTCCAGGGTCAAAAGTAAAATCCCTGCAAGCTGCATGGACACTTTTCAAAGACAGAGCAGGTTGTGAAGACAAGGACTTAACAGAGTTCAAAAAAGAGCTAGACAGATTCATGGAGGTTAGGTCCATCTATGTCTACAAGCCAGGATGGGTAGGTGTCCCTCGCCTCTTTCTGGAAATGGATGACCGGGGAGGGATCACATGATGATTTTGTTGTGTTCACTCCCTCCATGAATATCTGTTTTGTGAGCCCTCTGAACTGTCATTCATGCTTAAATTCGACACTTTACGCCAATTTTCTTCCACTACACTGCAGCCTGTGGTCTAATTTTTGGCTCTGGTAGCCATATGCTTGCTCAGGCTGATCAAGCTAGCATGCTAAGTAGGTAGCTAAGCAGTGTAGCCACAGATAAATGTGTGAGGGGTTAGGCTACCTGCATGACTACAATTCTGTCCAAATCCTTGGGTATATACCTGAGTGTCTAGCCCAGGGCTACTCAACACGCAGCCCATTTGTTTGCAGCCCGTGGTGTGGTTTGGGTTTACGCAGGGCTCAACACGCGGCCCACAGGTGGGATCCTCTGAATATGGCGTCCACGGGAACATGCTCCACAATGGCGAGTTAATAGAATGGTCTTCTGTTGATATGTGTTTTAGTAGTTACATTCCTGGACTGCCATTGCTCATTAAAAGTGCTGGCATAGGGGTGGAAATGGGTAAATATTGCATTTTATTAATATCACCAGAACTGACTTAAATGGGGCCTGCGTGTTGTGTAGTCGTGCCTTAATCTTTGTATTCATGCCTGTCAGTGTGAAAGAAGCTAGTTGCATATATTTGCAACCACATTTAAGTTGCGGCCCTCGGCATGTGCTGTGAGTATCATTGTGGCCCCCGGGACTTCCAAAGTTGAGTAGCTCTGATCTAGCCCATGCCACCACCTTCGTAGCCATTGGTGACCAGTTAAAGCTAATGCTGAAAATTACACTCCCAACTGCAGTATAGATGTACCGAGAAAGAGCCAATGTGGAAGGTCGATTGTCCCCCATCTGCTGTTGCATGGTGCTTACTCCTGTCCTGCGCTAGATGAGGCCTGGGTCTGATCCAGACGGGCAGTTCCTGTGTTTCTAGAAAAATACAGTTATAAATAATGGTGGGGTTTGACATCTGGGGTACGTCTACACTGTAGCCTTCTTGCGGAAAAGCTTATGCAAATGAAGCTTGGCGTGGAATATTGCCATGCTTCATTTGCATAATTAATGAGCAGCCATTTTTGTGCATGACGCTTTTGCGCAAAAAAACCCTCTTGTGCAAGAGCTGTTCTTCCTCATGTTTTCAGGAAGAACGGCTCTTGCGCAAGAGGAGGTTTTTGCGCAAAAAGGAGCCATCTACACAGCTCTTTTTTGCGCAAAAGCATCTTGCACAAAATGGCTGCTCATTAATTATGCAAATAAAGCATGGCAATATTCCACGCCAAGCTTAATTTGCATAAGCTTTTCCGCAAGAAGGCTACAGTGTAGGCGTAGCCTGGGTGTTGCGCATGTGTTCTTTCTCTCCCCCTGGGGCCACCAGTCCATGTGACAGAAGTTGTAGGGCACTTGAACTCCTGTGACGTTTGGTTTTGGTGGTAATAATTCCTGATCCCAGCAACAGGAGAAGAGCAACCAGGCTCCCCTTTGTGCCCCGTAGCACCCAGCCCTGTGTCCTGCAATCTGGATGTTTTTGCTGCAGTGATCAGCAGTGAAATGTTTACCTGAGCAAAGTGAAGTCAACTTGTGCGGGCCTCCTGGTTAGCAGTGTCAGCATTTACAGCATCCACTGTAGACTTCCGAGTTAACTCTCATGGAGCTGATGGGGCAGCTCCTCCTTCTCGGAGCTCTGGTTTCAGGTTGTGTGCGCCAGTTCAGGCAGTCAGCCCTAGAAATGCCCTAGAAACCTACTTTTGAAACAAGCAGCTGATGGCTCCCTGGGAGCTTTGTACCTGTTCTGCACTGGCCAGTCTGCTGCCAGTCCTGCTGCTCTTTTCAGGACTTTGTGGCTTTTTATTGTAGGGTAAATTGGTGACACATCCCTGCCCTCCCTATGCACTCACCTGGGCTTCCAACAGCATCATAGCTGCAGGCTGCGACAAGAAGATTGTAGCTTATGGAAAAGAAGGCCACATCATTCAAACCTTTGATTATAGCCGGGACCCCACGGAGAAGGAATTCACCACAGCAGCCACTAGCCCCGGGGGCCAGTCCGTCGTCATAGGCAGCTACGACAGGTACGGTGCCTAAAGACTGGGCCCTTTCTTTCGAAAGCCTCCTCCTCCTTCAAGGTCACTGCTTTCTCATCTCTCCCGCAGACTGAGGGTGCTGAACTGGAGTCCCCGCAGGAGTGCCTGGGAGGAAGCCAGACCCAAAGAAATCGCACACCTTTATACTATCACAGCCTTAGCGTGGAAGAGGGATGGCTCGCGCCTCTGTGCGGTTTGTACCCTCGAATGGTCGCTTCGCACCGTCCTCCAGAGTCACGGGCCTGCCTGCTGCATGGCAGGCCCTGACCCGTGTCCTGCTAATCAGGGAGACTTGGCTCTGGGAGGGTCAAGCAGAGAACCGAGTGGGAGAGGGGTGGGGTTTAGAAACACCAGGAGGAGTGGTGGCCTGGAATTTAGGATGGGAAAGAAGTTAATGCAGCTTGGTATGTTATGAGAGTGGTATGAGGCTGGGAAATGGCACAAGGTATGATCAGCGGAAGCAAGATCCCTTCTTCCAGGGAAAATAACATTGGGGGTTGGCCTGGCTTTCCCGAATGCAGTCTGCCCTCTGCTCCTCATAGCACCGGTTTGGGGGAGAGCAGCTAAGCTGGCATTAACCCATGAATTCTAGGTACCAGAGAGTCCCCCTTTCTCTGCTTTGGGGATTCTGCTCAACATTAGCTCAGGCTGAAAGTCTGTGGGCAACAGATGGGCCCACAAGGCTGTTCCTTGCTCTTCCTTAACATGCCAGAGAAATCTGACTTCCATTCTGTGGCAAGGTTACAAGTTTGGTTGTTACGGGTAGCTGGATTGATATACTCTGCCGAGACTGTGGAAAGACAGTGGCCTAGTAACACGTGGCATTCTGATTAAGAACTGGCTGACAGACTTCAGAAAGTAGTTGTCAAAGGGGGATCCATCATTAAATGGCAGTCTCTCTGGTGGGATTCCCAAGGGATCATACCAGGCCTGATGCTATTCTGCATCTCTTCAGTGATAAAGGACACAAAGAGGAGTGGAATAACTATGAGGCCATGGCAGTCCTCCAGAGTCATCCCGATAGGAGCCAATCTGGGCCAATGCACACAATCTGTGGTTTTCATGCAGCCAGATGGAAGGCCCTGCATCTAGGAAAGTAGAGGAAGCAGGCCCTGTATCCTGGAAAGTAGCAACTCTGGAAGGGACCTAGGGATCAGAGTGGACAGACAGTTCAACATGAGCACTCAGAGCAGTGCACTAGTGAAAAGAGCTAATGTGGTCCATGGATAGATGAACAGGGGAGCAGGAACTGAGAAGTTGAGACCAGGGCTGGAATACTCCTCCAGTTAGAAGAAGGTTGAAATACTGGAGAGGGTGCACAAAATAGCCACAAACATTGTTCAAGGGTTGGAGCAAATGTCTTACAATGAAAGAGCTTCATCTCTTTAGCATATTGAAAAGGAGACTGAAGAGGGACTTGATTGTAGTACCTACCTACCTTGTGCTTGCTCCCCAGGGCACCCTTTGTGGAGGCGTGGAGCAGTTTGACTGCTGCCTTCGCAGGCGCATTTACAAGAATAAGTTTGAAATGACCTACGTGGGGCCGAGCCAGGTAAGGAATGACTCCTCTGTGAAGAGGGGCTCTGTGGGTGGAGCTGTGACCCCTGGCACGCCTGGATTGTCTGCCACCTTGTATCTCGCCCAAGGCTCCCTCTGTGTCCCAGGCACCTCCTGTAACTCCCCACAGCTGCCGTGGCAGGACTCCTACGCACTCACAGTGAAGTGTCTGCTTAGATCCCGCCCCACGAAAACATTGGGTTGATTCCAAAAATTCCGTTCCAGTGCATTTTGATGGTGTGCAGGGAAGTACCCAAACAATTCCCAAAGCCCTGTGCCTTCTAAAAGACTCCGGCATTAAACCGCCTGGAAATGGAATCCGGCCTCTCCCCTGGCCCTCTTACCCTAAGCCAAACTTTGGCCCTTAACATTTGGAAAATATACAGTACACCATAGTCAGTGCAGGCGAGAGTAAACTCCTATTGCTCGCCCAGCGTGCTGGGAAGTGTGTATGATTTTGCATGTTTTAGGAACGAGATTCAGTGTGGGTGAAGAGTGCAGGGCCGCTGGGATGACAGAGCTGGCATCAGTTCCTGTCTGTCACAGACTCATTGAGTGTCATCGAAGATGTTTTCAGTCTCCTTTTGCCATAGCTCCCCATGGGTCCGGTCCGATGGCGTGCAGTGGGGTACTCCCTTTCCTGCAGGGGTGCCGTGTTTGTGAGACGCTGGGGGATAGAACTACCAGGACAGGCAGACAAGCTTTAATGCATATACCTTCCTTTGGGCAAGGGCCCTTCTGCCGTGCTCCTTCTTTCGGGAGGGGCCAGCCCGCTTCCATACCTCTTGCCCTGCTCTCTCCAGGTCATTGTGAAGAACCTCTCCACAGGAACACGAGTGGTGCTGAAATCCCACTATGGCTATGAGATTGACGAAGTGAAGATTTTGGGGAAAGAGAGGTACCTTGTGGCCCATACCTCGGACACACTGCTGCTGGGGGATCTGAACTCCAACAAACTCAGTGAGGTACTGGAAATCCCTGCAGGACTGGTTGACCTGGTGTCTGGATTCCCAGGCAGGCTCCTGGCGTCTCAATAGTGTGTTGGTTAAAAACAAAGAAGATGGAGAGGACTGGATAGCTCAGAAAATTGGTAGTGGGATCTGGGCCTTGTATTAGGTTAGATGGAATAAATGGGCTGGAAGTTTGAATATAACTCAGTCCCATCCAACATTAAACAGTGTTAAAGAGGGTGTAGGCTTTGGTCCACAGAGACCTCTGTCTGCCTAGCACCATGGCAAACACACCATCAAACATCCTTTTAGGCTTTTACTGAAGATCCAGAAAAGGAGGAAAAACAGTTAAAGCATTTGAAATGTAAGGTATGAAATAAGGCTTTCTTGTTAACAGCATCCCTTGGTCACTTGTCCTGTAGCTGGAGGCAGTTTTTAGGGGCGGGCGAGCCAGGCGGTTGCCCAGGACTGCCATTTTCAAGGAGCCACCAGCCACCACGGTCTTTTTTTTGGTTGACCAGTTTCCCCTGGCGGTCTTTTTTTTTTTTAAAGGGTTCTGTGGCCAAATAAAATTGGGAAATACTGTCTTAGCTGGTAAGAATGATGGCAATAATGGTCATCCCAGGTGCTGTCTGGGATCCAGTTGGGGGTGAGGTCATCTTGGTGCCCCTCTCTGGCTTGTTCTGGTCAGGACACCTCACAGGATCGGGAGGAAGAAGGCCTGGGGTCCCAGGAAATGGTGGATGTGACAGCCATGATGGTGAAACTCACTCCAGTAGCCTCTGTCCGTTCTTGCAAGTCACTCTTTGTTTTTTCCATGCTTTCCCCAATACGTTGTTTTCTTTTAAGGACCCAGAAAGGGAGTGATGGGTAATGTGTCTCCCTTTCCTCTTGTCCCTTGATGTTTGTTCTAGGTTATTGTAACGTCTTATTTTTCCCAGTTGAGCTGACAGTGTAGGCCCAGTTTGCCCTACAGGCCTTTCCCTTTTTGGGGGCCTTGATTCCAATCTAGTAAGAAGCCAGACCCCAAGGGCAGGATTTATGACCCCTCTGTTAATGTGCTCAGTTTGTATGTTAGTCTGATCTGGGCACACGCGCTGGTGAGGTCACACAACTGACTCAGCAGAGTCCTGATTGGTCTTGTTCCTTCCACACCCATAGTCTAAGCCCACTGCTGCCCACATCCCTACTTGCCTTCTCGCCTGCTTCTGCTCCTTGTTCTTGTTACCTCGCTTGAGGCCATGTTCTGCTCCCTTGCCCGGACTCCTGTTACTGACTCCGGCTGTGACTCTGGCCTGACACTACTCTGGGCTCCAGCCATTAGTTCAGTCTCTTCGTGTACAGGCCCTGCCAGACTGGCAGGGAGAGCCCCACAGCTCGTGTGAGTGCATGGCGGGAGGGGCAGGCTCTCCAAATGCCACCGTTCCCACTGATCAGCGATTCGTCTGCACTTGGTGGGGGTCAGACTTGGCAGGCCCCCTTGCCCATAGTAGATAATTGGAAGGAGACATAGTCCGGCAGGGATGGCAGACTAAGGGTGTCACAGCAGTGCAAGGTCTAGAGATGCTTTGCTCACAGTTATGGCATCTCTCTTCAGTCCACGTCTTGGATTAGATCAGAAGCCGGTGCGTTACAGAGGCCTGGGGAAATGCCCCAAGGGGCTATCCACTCTAGAGTTTTGTGCTCAGCAGCCAAGTCTAAACCTCTTGTCTCCTACCCCCCATGGTCCCCGGACCCACCCAACCCCAACTCCTACGAGGTCCCCCTGCCTGCGGTGTCACATGGAGCCGCCCCCCTCTTCCCTCCCAGCCCTACTGACATCAGTTTCTTAGCTTGAGTAGCATCCTCAGGGGAGGGGATGTTGTATATATGGTTCCCAGCTACTCTGCTAACCTGGCTGGGAATAATAGCACGTGTTCGACAACGTGAGCCTGTGTATATGGCTACCTGATCACTGGAGATCGCTCTCCAGCAGGGATGTTAGACATAAGCCTGGTTTTATCGGTTAATCCTAATGACTACCCCCATCCCTTGCTGCCTCTGTATCAGAAGCAGGGGTGGGGGGAGGAGGGAAGTGGGAGCCACTGCTCCTGGGGAGCCACCTGCCACCCCTGCTGCTATCTCTGTATTAGAGGCAGCTGCGCAGGGTGCCAGGCGGGAGCCAGCTTAAAAACCAGCTCCCCACACAGACCGGCTGCCTGCTTTCCTGTGCTGCTGCCTGTGATGAAGCAGCAGCACAGGGTGGCAGCAGCCCCTATTTGTGGGCAGTCCGAGCTCCCCGTGGACAGGGGCTGCTGTCGCAGACCTGCCTCTGTCTGCAGCAAGCCTGGGCCACTACAGACAGAGTTTGTTTTGTAGCAGCCTCCGCTCCTGGGGAGCCACCTGCCACCCCTGCTGCTATCTCTGTATTAGAGGCAGCTCTCATAGAGGCAGCAGTGCTGGGGGGAGGGGTAGGTGGCACTGCGGAGCTGGTGCTGTGAGGACAGGTGGATCCAGTGCTCATGGGGAGCCTGCTTAAAGCCAGCTCCTCACCGGCACCAGCTCCCACTCTCTCCCCCAGCTTGCTTGCTGATACAGAGGCAGCAAAGAGGGGGCAGGGTGTGTAGTCGACAAGATAAGCCCAGGCTCGTTGGTTAATCATGCAGTCGACTACACATTGACATCCCTAATCTCCCAGGTTATCTCTCCTCTGCTCAGCCCCTTGCACCATCTTTCTCTCGTGTCCCCCCCTCCCCCCCCCACCATCAGTTATTCCCCCATGTATCTTGCCTGTGCCCCTTGAAGCTATAACTGAAAGCCCCTGCTTGAGGAAGGTAGAGCCACCTGCAGCTGCTTTCTCAGCTGGTTGGGTGAAAACAGGGAGCTTTGCTTGGCCTTTGGCATTACTACAGCTATCCTGTTAATTTTTGTAATTGCCAAAGGTGAGCCGGGCACCTCCCAGGGTATCTCTGCACTGCTCGTGTCACCCTGCAGGCTAACGGCAGCGGTACGCCCACAGGGGCTCGGGTGGCCGCCCAGCTAGCTCAGGAATGCGTCTGCCTGAGTTGGGAATTACAGCTCTGACGTGTAGTGTGGAAATGGCCAGAGAGCCTGGTGACAGGCACCTTCTGGCACGGACGGGAGCCAGCATGACGCACAGCGAAGTGGCAAGACAGCACAGGTTATTGGGGCAGCAGAGGTTCTCCGCCTTCCCCTTCGGTCTCCTGGACTTCAGCCCCCCGAGTCCTACGGAGGAGCTTTACTGAGGCCAGGAGGGAACTTGGGGAGAGTGTCCGAGCCTGGGGGAGATGCCCGAGAAAAGATGAATGGATGCAGGCAATGTCATTGGTGAAAGGAGCCTAGGTCCAAGGTGCAGGCTGGAGCCCAGGGAGCAAAGGCAAGGCGCTCGAATGTGAGGCCAGCTCAGTAGGGATTCAGTGATTGGGGAGTGGCAGGTCTTACACCCTGGGAAAGTAGGAGGACTGGCTGTGCAAAGTGCGAGCTAGCAGAGGGTCTCGCTGTGCTGATTCAGGAGATTTGCCTGGAAGGCACCAGGCCAGTCTGTGCTGCTGCAGAGTGTGGGAGGAGAGCCAGATAGCAGTGAGCTTAGAGCCAGGCAAAGCGTAGCAGTCTGAGGAAACGCAAGCTGAAATGCCTTTGCTGCTTTGATCGCTAGCTGCCCCCAGATCCCATGGTACCTGCATCCTTCAGCAAAGGGATCGTTCACACCATGCCTTACGTTGCAGGTGGCCTGGCAAGGATCCGGAGGGAACGAGAAGTTTTTCTTCGACAATGAGAACGTGAGTTGGACTGGATGAAACTCTTGCCTATGCATGTGCTGCAACCACGAAGTCTGTCTGCCCACGTCCTGCCATGTCTCATGCTCTCCACCCAGCTCCTGTGGCCTGCTCCCTGCCCTGCCCACGTTTCAGGGAGCAGAACAACCCTTTAATGTGGGAGCTGCATGGGCAGGGTTTCCCCAGCGAAGGGTGGAGAAGGAGAGTGCGGAGGGGCAAGGCAGAGGAGGAAGAGCCTGGGAAGAAGTTAGAAATACAGAGAACAGACCTAAGTCTCAGAGGGGAGCTGTGTTCGTCTGTAACTTGAAAAATAAGTAGTCCTGTGGCACCTTAGGGTACGTCTAGACTACATGCCTCCTGGGATGAGGTTTACCTGGGTGGTCGACAAATACCTTTGATGCCGACACCCGCGCGTCCAGACTATCGCGCTGAGCCGACAAACAACTGATCAGCTGTGTGTCGGCTCAGCGCGGCAGCCATGTAAATTTAAATGAAGCGGCGATTATTTAAATCGCTGCTTCATTTTACTATGTCTGGTAGCCTAGACGTACCCCAAGAGACTAACACAAATGTGTGCTACTCTCAAGTGCCACAGGCCTGATGGGACCCATCTGGGGGGATCCTCCACCTGGGAGGGCTGAGAGGCTGGGAAAGGGGGCTCACCAACGCACAGCCAATGGAGTGGTAGCCTGGCTCCCACAGGACACAAACCCTCGGCCCGTTGGCACAGATTGGTGGCAGCCACACCAGTGAGATCAAGGATGGAATGAGCTTCAGAGACTAAGCTCTCCTTCCCGTCCAATGGGGTGAATTCAGATTGGGGTGCAGGGCATCCCTTCCACAAACCCAGTGAGTCCCTCTGCCCATCCACTCAGCCCTTCCCTTCACACTGCTTGCTGGAGGAGTCCTGCCTCCCTACAGGTCTGCATGATCTTCAATGCCGGAGAACTGACGTTAGTGGAATATGGAAACAATGAAATTCTGGGATCTGTCCGCACAGAGTTTATGAACCCTCATCTCATCAGGTAAATGGCACCCCCTCTTGATCCCCACCACAGGCACTACTGTGAAACGGCCTGGGACTCTTCAGGGGCCATCGCGTCCCGATTCCTCCCCGTTGCCTGGCTCTGGGACTGGCCAGGGGCCGTCGCGTCCCGATTCCTCCCCGTTGCCTGGCTCTGGGACTGGCCAGGGGCCGCCATGTTGTTGCTGACTGATGTGCAAGACTCAGCCTGCACTTAGAAGTTAGGTTGAGATGGCTGCATTGGTCAGCTGTGAGAAATCTTACACCTCTGACTGACCTAGTGCTGACTTAAGCCCCCGGGTATGTGCAGTGCAGGTGCCTGTGTCCAAAGAAAAATGCTTCTGTCGACTTGTCAACCATTGTTTGGGGAGGTGATATTTCCACACCTAGCTAAAACTCCCTTCCATCAGTGTAGGGTATATAAGAACGGCCGTACTGGGTCAGACCAAAGGTCCATCTAGCCCAGTAGCCTGTCTGCCGACTGTGGCCAGCACGAGGTGCCCCAGAGGGGGTGGACTGAAGACAATGATCAAGCGATTTGTCTCCTGCCATCCTTCTCCAGCTTTTGACAAACAGAGGCCAGGGGCACCATTCCTTACCTCCTGGCTAATATCCTGTTATGGACCTAACCTCCATGAATGTATCTAGCTCTTTTAAACTCTATTATAGTTCTAGCCTTCACAGCCTCCTCTGGCAAGGAGTTCCACAGGTTGACTGTGCGCTGTGTGAAGAAGAACTTTCTTTTATTAGTTTTAACCCTGCTAACCGTTAATTTCATTTTGTGTCCTCTAGTTCTTATATTATGGGAACAAGTAAATAACTTTTCTTTATTCACCGTCTCCACACCACTCATGATTTTATAGACCTCTATCAAATGGGTCCCATATGAGGAGAGCCTCGGCCCGTTGGCACAGATTGGTGGCAGCCACACCAGTGAGATCAAGGATGGAATGAGCTCCAGAGACTAAGCTCTCCTTCCCGTCCAATGGGGTGAATTCAGATTGGGGTGCAGGGCATCCCTTCCACAAACCCAGTGAGTCCCTCTGCCCATCCACTCAGCCCTTCCCTTCACACTGCTTGCTGGAGGAGTCCTGCCTCCCTACAGGTCTGCATGATCTTCAATGCCGGAGAACTGACGTTAGTGGAATATGGAAACAATGAAATTCTGGGATCTGTCCGCACAGAGTTTATGAACCCTCATCTCATCAGGTAAATGGCACCCCCTCTTGATCCCCACCACAGGCACTACTGTGAAACGGCCTGGGACTCTTCAGGGGCCATCGCGTCCCGATTCCTCCCCGTTGCCTGGCTCTGGGACTGGCCAGGGGCCGTCGCGTCCCGATTCCTCCCCGTTGCCTGGGGCCTGGCCCTGAGTGTGAGACCCATGTTGTTGCTGACTGATGTGCAAGACTCAGCCTGCACTTAGAAGTTAGGTTGAGATGGCTGCATTGGTCAGCTGTGAGAAATCTTACACCTCTGACTGACCTAGTGCTGACTTAAGCCCCCGGGTATGTGCAGTGCAGGTGCCTGTGTCCAAAGAAAAATGCTTCTGTCGACTTGTCAACCATTGTTTGGGGAGGTGATATTTCCACACCTAGCTAAAACTCCCTTCCATCAGTGTAGGGTATATAAGAACGGCCGTACTGGGTCAGACCAAAGGTCCATCTAGCCCAGTAGCCTGTCTGCCGACTGTGGCCAGCACGAGGTGCCCCAGAGGGGGTGGACTGAAGACAATGATCAAGCGATTTGTCTCCTGCCATCCTTCTCCAGCTTTTGACAAACAGTCTGTTTGTCAGAGGCTGGAGAGGGATGGCAGGAGACAAATCGCTTGATCATTGTCTTTGGTCCACCCTCTCTGGGGCACCTGGTGCTGGCCACTGTCGGCAGACAGGATACTGGGCTAGATGGACCTTTGGTCTGACCCAGTACGGCCGTTCTTATGTTTGTCACCCATCCTTTAAATCAGCTTCTGTACCAAATGACTGGAGAATGACTAATGTGATGCCAATTTTTGACGAGGGCTCCAGAGGGGATTCTGGCAATTACAGGCCAGTGAGCCTGACTTCAGTACGGGGCAAACTGGTCGAAACAAGAGTAAAGAACAAAATTGTCAGATACAGAGATGGGCATCATTTGTTGGGGGAAGTCAAAGGGCAGTCCTGCCTCACTGGTCTGAGAGCTCTTTGAGGGGTCAGCAAGCATGTGGACAAGGGGGAGCCAGAGGCTAGAGCGTACTCAGATTTCCAGAAAGCCTTCGACAGGTTACCTCAGCAATGCCTCGAATGCCAAGTGAGCTGCCATGAAGTCCTCTCGTGGTTGTGACTGGATCAAAGAGAGGGAACGAAGGGCAGTAAGAAATGGCGAGAAGGGTCTAGTGGTGTCCCCAGGGTCCACGCCGCTTGCTGCCACTGCCCTCGCAGGTTGCCGAGCCTGTGCTAAAGGACAGAGAACCCTGCACATACAATGTGATGAAATGGAATTTGTGCTGAGTTCAATGTCTGTGTGGGCCTCTGGTTCCCCTTGTACTTTGCATTCTTGCTCCAGGGAGAGAAAAGGGTGAAGGCTTCTGTGAGGGTCTTGCCCTGCTGTCTGGGCCACAGTGAATGAGGCTGGGATCTGCTGCGTGGAGGCTCCAAAGGCACCGTAGAAAGTGCCAGTGACCAGAACACTGACACACAGCAAGGAGGGCAGAGGATAAAGAGTGGGCTTCTGAAGCAGGCTGGCTGCCCTGCCCTGCCCTGCCCTGAGGAGTCAGAGAGGGACCTAGCCTGAGATGGAGTCCACCGTGGCTTGGCTGGTGGGCTGCTCTGGCTTGAGCAGAATGGACGATGCTTTAACCGTTATCTCCGAATGCTAATAACCTCGGGACTCCCAGTGCTGTGCTCTAGGTGCCTATAGTTTGGAAGGGCTGGCCTGGTGTCATTGCAGACATTGGCTGGGGAGCACGGCTTGCTGAAGAGCAAGCAGGTCTCTCACTGGGAGTCCCTGTGCCGAGCCCCCAGTGGGAAGCAGGAATTCTGGAGCCCTGAGCTCAGCCTTGGAGGCCGTGAGGTGGTGTGGCCTGTCCTAGAGGAGGAGCGAGGCGCCTCGGCAGACTGGCACACTGGGGTTCCTCCTAAAGAACGTTGACACAGGTGTGTAAGCTTTTCCTGGGGGCTGATGCGCAGGGTGTCTGAGGCAGAATTTCAGGGACCAGAGTTCTCTGCCAGAGAGCCACGAACCTGCAGGGACTCGGAGGTGTACAGTCCCCCATGGGATCTGATGGGTAGAGCGGATGGTTGTGGAGCTGGGGAGTGGCGGTTCCATGAATGGAGGGGATCACTATGGATGATTCTGGGGAGAGGGTGGGAGATGCTCCAAGTGGTTTGGCAAGTGCGCAGCATTGCTAGTCATTCTTCACCCTCCGTTGCAGCGTTCGCATCAATGAGAGAAGGCAACGAGGGATGGAGGAGAACAAGAGACTAGCATATCTCATCGACATCAAGACTATCGCAGCAGGTGAATGGAGCCCCTCCCCTTTCTTCCCTGCCACTGTCTGCATTCACTTTTTTTCCAGGAGGCAAGTCATTAGTCACGTGGCCTGCTGCTTGCGTGAGCGCTCCACGTCTGCTGTGGACGGTGGTCTCTGAGGCAGGGCCACGTCTCCTGTCTGTGGGTGCGCCTGTCGGTCATTGTAATGGTATTGCTACAGCTGCCGTCAGAGCACGCTCCTCGCGCTGATGAGAGGGGTATTAATGCTGCTGGGTGACGCTCCCAGGATTGGGACGTATCAGTGTGCTCTGCCCCAGTGCCTTAGGCATGTGATGTCATGGTGCATTTTCCACCGGGCCCCCTCATCCGGGATTGCAGGGCTTGAGTTCTGGATCTTCAGGTTGACCGGAGTGCAGAAAACGGCAGAGTAGGGCAGGAATGGTTTGCAATGTGTGCAGTGAGTCGAAAGCTCCGTTTGTTTCTCCATTCTCTTCCTGTGAGGCATTCGTTGCAGGCCCCAGGTCATGTTTGGGACCCTTTTGTGCAGTGCTGGTGATATTTTGGGGTGCAATCCAGATTGGTACTGCCTGCCCTGTTCTTCCCTCCCGGTGCTCCAGCCATGGAGCCCAGTCAGGGACTCGTCCTGCTCCTCCCACCCGATGTGCTTGCTGGAGAGTGCCCTTGGTGCAAGGGGCTTAGAAGTCCCCAGTCCTGCTCCCCAGCCAGAGCGCAGCCCAAGCCTCTGCTGCCAGACCCTGCTCCACGGCAGAAGCACTGGGTGGGCACAGAAGGGCAAGCGCCCCAACCCCGCTCCAAGGACTCCCTCCTATCCCATCCCAGCTCTCCCAGGCTTCTTGGTGGGAGATGGCCCAATCTCTCCTGCTCCCCACCACCTCTCATCATTGCCCACCCAGCTGAGGTCAGGGCCCACCCAAGTGTACCTTCTGGCCAGACCACTGTGCAGCAGGAGCGCTGGCAGGGCCACCCACAGGAATTTGTAAACGTGGACCACAAGGGTACTAACGTACCCAGCCATGGTCCCCAAGGAAGCATGGGCCGGCCGGCCAGGGGAAGGCAGGAGCGGTGCACTGCCTGGGCCTCCCTCCCCCATTACTGGAGGACAGTGCCCTGAAGAGGACACCGCAGTCCGGGAGTGACGCAAGTTCAGAGTCCATCTGTGGGCAGAGCGGAGTAATGGGGGAGACACCAGCCAGCGGGAGGAGACCTGCTGATGAGCTAGTTCCCAGTACAACTGATAGGAGAGGCCACGAGGTGAGTCGTGCCCCTGACACCCCCGAGGAATAGCCTTGGTGCTAGTTACGGGGTAGCAATAGGGATTCGGTGAGGTGTCCCAGTGTTAAAATGCCAGTCTGACAGATGATCAGTGGTGCTAAGGGCTGGTCCCTGCAGCCGTCCCCGTGTTCAGTATGTATGCCCAGAGCATGCGCCAGGCATTGGATCCCAGTGGAGGATGAGCAGAGTTGGCAAGATCTCACCACCTCCGGGTACTTCTGTCCACCGAATTCTTCATGGCCCTCAGCAGCATCTTTCCTCTGCTGTGGTGAACGGGAAACAATTAGCAAAGGTGGTTTTAAGATACCATAAAGTGGCAAACTGGGATGTATTAAGGACCACAGGCCTTTGAGTGAGGGTGGACCACCAGGGAGATAGATAACTAACAATAGGAGGTGAAGGGGTAGGGAGAGAAAATGATTTAATCAGAGTGCATTTTTCTTTATTCCAAAAGGGAATGGCATGACATGTCCAATAAAAAGAGTATCAGGGGAATCCAGAGAGGGGTGAAATTCCCATCTGATGCCCCTTCTGCAATGTTGGTTCCTGTAAATATAGTTAAAATAATTAAGCCACAAGGAGTCCTGTGGCACCTTATAGACTAAAAGATGTATTGGAGCATAAGCTTTTGTGGGCAAAGACCCACTTCGTCAGATGCAAGCAAAAAAATTGTTAAGCAACAGATTTGTTTCATTTACTCCTGCTGCAATATACATTGCATATGTCACAGGCAAAATGCACCCCAAGTTTTTTTGTTTATTTTATTTAAATATTTTTACCCCGCTCCCCTATTTAAAATATTCGAGGCAGTTTACAAAATTTTTTAAACATAATACAAATATATATAAAAATTTAAAATATGAGACCCCAGAGGGACATAAAACCCTCTAAAAATATCGAGAAGAGGAACACACACATACAGACTCAAACACCAATAAAAGCACGAGTAAAAAGGATGGCTTTAGCCTGACGCCGAAACAATGCTAGTGTTGGCGCCATGTGAATATCCCGAGGAAGAGAATTCCACAGCCTGGGAGCAAAGGCTGAGAAGGCCCTGTTCCACGGTGATGTTAATCTTATCTCTGCAAGTGGGGGAACACTGAGCAGAGCCTCTCTAGCTGACCTTAGTCCCGGGCAGGTTCATATGGGAGAAGACGGTCCTTCAGATACCCCGGACCCAGCCCGTTTAGGGCTTTAAAGGTCCTAACCAAAACCTCAAATTGTGCCCGGAAACATACCGGAAGCCAGTGCAGCTGCCGGAGCACTGGCATAATGTGCTCCGTATAACAAGGTATTAGTCAAAACTTGATCAGCCGCTTTCTGGACCAGCTGAAGTTTCCGAAGGCTCTTTAGAGGCAGCCCCACATAAAGTGCATTACAGTAATCCAGTCGGGATGTAACAAGAGCGTGGATCACTGTGGCCAAGTCATGCTTGTTCAGGAAGGGTCGCTGCTGGCCACCGAAGAAATCTGGTCCCCAAGTCATGCTTGTTCAGGAAGAGTCGCAGCTGGTGGATCAGACAAAGTTGCCCAAAGGCACTCCTGGCCACTGAAGGAATCTGGTTTTCAAATGTTAAAAAAGGGTCCAGGAGGACTCCCAAGCTGCATATCTGTTCTTTCAGGGGGAGAGTAACCCTGTCGAGAACAGGTGCCAGGGCACATTCCCAAACAGATGGCCTCCTGATCCACAGGACCTCAGTCTTATCTGAATTCAACTTCAGCTTGTTTGATTTCATCCAAACCATCACTGCCTCCAGACACCAGTTTAGATCAGTCACCACCACACCTGGTTCTGATGTCACAGGGAAATAGAGCTGGGTGTCATCTGCATATTGAAGGCACCGTCCTCCAAAACTCCTTATGACCTCTCCCATTGGCTTCATGTAGATATTAAACAGCATAGGGGACAAGATGAAACCTTGCGGGACCCCATAGCACAATCGCCACGGGATCGAATAGCGGCCCTCTAGCTCCACCTTCTGAAAGCGTCCCAATAGGTAAGACCGGAACCACTGCAGAACAGTCCCTCCAATACCCAACTCCGCCAGGCGCTCCAGAAGGATACCATGGTCTATGGTTTCAAAAGCTGCTGAGAGGTCCAAGAGAATCAACAGGGATGCACCCCTCCCTCCCCCCCCGTCTACCAGGGTGACCAAGGCAGTTTCAGTTCCAAAACCCGGCCTAAAGCCAGACTGAAATGGATCTAAATAATCTGTTTCTTCCAAAAAAGCTTGGAGTTGCAACACCACCGCCACTTGAGTACCTTGCCCAAGAAGGGAATATTAGCAACTGGGTGATAGTTATTCAAATCGTGTGGGTTCAGGGAAGGCTTCTGGAGTTTTATCACTGCCTCTTCCAAGGTGGCAGGAACCATACCAGAGCTAAAAGACACATTAATAATCCCCTGGACTCAGACAGTGATCCCTTCCAGCTAGATTTAATAAGCCATGAAGGACAGGGGTCAAGTGAGCACATGGTCAGTCGCACTCCTCCAAGCACCACACCCTCAGTCTGCAGTAGCTGAGACTGTTCCTAAGAGAAATGACTGGGTGGTCCGTTCAACACATTCTGTGCCCAACTTACATAGCAGCCAGAGTCCAAATCAGACCGGATGCAAGCCATCTTATTTACAAAGTGCTTCGCAAACAGATCACAGCAGGGATCCCAGAGCTCCTCCACTTTGTCATGAGTGCCAGACTGTAACAGGCCCCGCACCACTCGAAACGGTTCTGCTGGACGGCATTGTGCGGATGCGATACTGGTGGAAAAGTAGCTTTTCTTGGCTGTCAGCACCGCCTCAGAGTAAGCTCACGATTCAGCTCAAACCTGCAGTGGATTGGATTCAGCTCTAGTTCTCCTCCAGCGGCATTCTAGCTGGCGCACAGACCGTTTTGCCACCATCAGCTCCCCAGAAAACCAGGGAGCAAACTTGGCTAGACTAGCACAAAGAGGGTGCTTAGGAGCAATCACATCAGCTGCCTGGGCTATGTTGGTGTTCCATATATCGACTAAAGCGACGAGGAGTCCTGTGGCACTGTTAAAAAAACCCTAATGGGTACTTAAGAACAATTAGCACCTTCTCTATCAGCTTCATGTATCATGGACGCTAATTGACTATTTCTTTCCCCGTTTTTTCTTTTTTTTCCTTCTCCCCCTGCCATCCCCTATTTATTTAGAAACTGGACCTTTAACAACTCCATTTTAAAAAAACAGACTAACACGGCTACCCCTCTGATACTTGACATATATCGACTAGGGCATCGACAGGACCATTTACCATAACGGCTGAACAATCCCTCAGGGAGCCCTCCGGATCCATCAGCCTCTGAGGGCGGATCATCTTAATTGGTCCCTCCAGCTCTGTCAGCAGATAGTGATCAGGCCATGACAAAGGGAGTGCAGCCACATCCCTTGTACAAGAACTCTATCACCCTTAGTCCAAAACATCAGATCAAGCATATAACCCCTTTGGCTCAGCCCTTCCGGGTGGCCCACCACCAGTCTGCAGGCAACATGTGCAGCTGAAAGTTCATAGTCCTAGTGGGCAGGCCTCCTACTCAGGAGAGAGGCAGCAACATCAGGGCTAGAGTAGGGTTGCTAGATAGTTTGACAAAAAATACCGAACACGGCAGGAAAAAATTGATTGAGCAAAAAAAAAAAAAAACGGGGAACAAAGTTGTCGAGGAAAAAACACACACCGCACACCCGTGCGCACACGCACACACACCACATCGT